GTGTTTTGAGTTGACTAGCTGAGTGGCATGTCACCATATTCTAATTTATTGAGATAGTGATTTGGTAGATTTTTGTTAAATGTGAGCCAAAATCATCAAAATTAAAAGACCCAACGGCTTAAACTACTTCAGTCTGTGTGTACTGAATTATATAATACACAAGTTTCACTATTTGAGTTGAATTACTGAAATAAATGGAATTTTCCATGATATTCTAATTTATTGAGCTGCACCTGTAGGTATGTAGTTAACATCAGCTCCACCTTTACCAGCTGCAACAACAAAGTGATGAACATAGTAATGCATCAATAAGTAGAAGGTATGTATAAGGTACAAGTGAATTTCCCCATTGTAGGACTAATACATTTTCATCTTTTATCTTATCTTATAATCCAATATGTGAAACATGCCATTCTGCATAATGAGTACTTTTACTTTTGCTACTTTAAGTATATTTTGATGCTAATACTTTTGTATATTTAAGTAACATTTTAAATGCAGGACTTGTACTTGTAATTGGAAGTTTTACTCAAATAAAGGATCCAAGTACTTCTTCCTCCACTGATGGAATAACAGGGCGTTGGAAACAGAAAGGGTACAGTCATGTATAACAGAACTACTAACGCTGTAAAATGGTAAAATGGCATCTTCTGTCCAAGTGATGGAGTATTTTTGAAGGCTGAATTGCCTTTCACATGTATGGTGGGTGAATGAGTCGGTGTGTTAACGGGCAGTGTGTGGTCCCCAGTCATTTGTGCCATTGCTAATATAAAATATCAATTATAGAGTTAAACATGATCAAAATCATCTAAGTTAAAGGTGCACCAGTAGATTTTGGAGGTGTATTTTTGTGTGCATTCTGTACAAAACTGTAAAGAATACACAGTACCACCAGTGCTGTCACGTTGCGAGCCTCTTCAGTACTTTCTTTACCTTTTCAGATTCCATCCACCTTCGATGCCAGCCAGGCGACGGCCTTTGACGGCTGTTTCCATGACAATGATATTGAGCTGACTCCGTTCCCTTGGATGACACCGACCCTGACCTCTAACCCTCTCACAACTCCAACCCAAAGCTCAGAGATCTGCCCCATGTAGGGAACTCACCTGCACCAGCAGCGGTCAGTGCGAGGAAACGTGGACCTACTGGTCAGCAATAGCTACATGATCAACTGGCCTTCCCTCTGCCCTACCTGCTCTTCAACACCATGAACTGGGGCCTGTACTCCTGATCCACACTGCAAACTCTCCATGAACTCGGTCCAAGTGATGAGCCAGATCGGAGGACTTGTCTTTTGCTCGGGGGTCCACAGGCACATTGCTGATTTAGCTTCTGATCACAGGAGCCTCACACGCTCAGCTCCAGCTTCATCACTAATCCTGTTTTATTACAAGAAAGACTGAGATAAAAGCCCTGGCGTCCCTCTGTCTGGGAGTGAGCTAAATCCTGACTCGGAAAGTAATGGTCCCTGATTTGTTTTTTTAATAACTTACATGAGAATCTTCATTCTATGCATCATTAGATAGATAGATATACTTTATTACAGACTCAGAGTCCAAATAAAAAACAAACAGATAACAATAAAAACAACCAATAAACTACTAGCCCTTTAAAAGGCAGGTATACCAGTGTTTCCAGAGTACTGATGTGTATCGCATGTCATTATATGCAATATTAGTTGACAATAAAACAATGTTGTTTTCAGAACTATTCAAGTGACAAATTTATACATCAGGTTTCTTAAAACTGATAATGTACTGATTCGAAGTAACACAAACAGTTCACTGGCACTCGTCCATCTAGGCCTTTTCAATAATAACCTCAAGGCGTCATTATAGGCCACTGTCAGTTTCCGAAGACTGCCTTTTTTGTAATTAGACCATAGATGTGCAGTGTACAAAGAGGTACAGTACGCTCTAAACAAAGTCAATTTTACTCCATCCGAGCACGAACCAAATTTCCGTGCCAATACATTTGCTTGAACATACAACATGTAGCACTGCTGATACATATCCCCATCATCAGACAATCATAACATGACCCAAATACTTAAGTTCATTACACATAGTTAATAATATTACCAGATATCTTAAAAAAGGGAATACAAGGGACATATCTCCTCATCATTATAATAATCAATGTTTTTAATTTTGATGGTCATTAGATATTTGCTGCTTTCCTTAGCTACAGAGAAGTATTACATTAGCATAAAATCATGCTATATTTTGAAAAATGTTGCCCTTTCAATGAATGGAGCTATACATGGAATTTAAAAAATGATCAAAAATTGTTTTTAATCTTATGAAGGTATACAACAGTGTAGCCACTGTACCACTGGGGATAAAGAAATGACTGCCCTAATTGTGAATGTTTTTTTTTAAATCACGACTATTTGATGACACCACTAGAATTTGAATTGTGTGATAATTAAATCAAAGTAAATTAAATGTTTCAATTTAAAAACCATTTATCTGGGGTTATATGCATTGAATTCTTTTGTTTTAATGTCTGATTTAAGGAATTCAAAAGTGAGAATCTCAAAATTTCCTAACTCAAAAAATGCATTTACAAAACGTTTGACCTCTACTGGGATTTTCTAATCTGCTGTTTTTCTCTCAAGCACTCTGAAAAAGGTTCAACATCCTACACTGATTTGTCACATGACAATTAGTTTCATGTAATTCACGTTTCCAATTTTACTCCTAAAGAAAGCCGAACTGATGAGTATTAGACTACATGAACCTATGAAATTATGATATGCCAGTTGGGATAATTTTAATTTGTGAAAATTAAGCAACCTGAAGTGGAGGAAATGGTAATGAATCCACCTGAATGTAGATCAGATATGGATGAAGTTCTTTGTTGAAATAGTTGACAACACAAAGATGCCATAGCAATAGTGAACTACATTAAACGGCGTGCCAAGAACAGCTGTTGTTTCATACAGCTGTGCAAAGACCTGGGATTAGATCATGTCCAGTTGCTGTGTCGTTCAGAAGTTTGCTTGGCTTTCAAGGGGAAAAGTAATGTCATGGTTTTATGAGCTTAAACACAAAATCACTGCCTTCCTCTCGCACAATAACTCCCTGTATACTGAGATGCTCAGTGATAAACTCTGGAGTGGCAGTGAAGTACATCAGAGTAGTTCAGGATATGTATGAGAGGAGTACAATGTCAGT